CTAGCATGTGAGTGAAAGGCAAGATCTACACTAAGACCAAATCACGAGTATTGAGTATGAGATCATCCATGAAAGAATCGGGGCATCTCCTACTAGCATGTGAGTGAAAAGCAAGATCTACACTAGACCAATAAGAAGGAGAAAAGGAGAAAGAAGGAGGAGAAGAGGAGGGAGAAGAAGGAGTAGAGAAGAAAAAGAAGAAAAAGGAGAAAAAGATGAAGAAGATGAAGAAGGAGAAGAGTGAAGAGGAGGAAGAAGAAAAAGATGAAGAAGAAGAAGGTGAAGAAAAAAAAGAAGATGGAGAAGAATCTCTTCTTTTCCACTCACCTTCTTTATGCCTTGGAGATGGAGCCTCAACCTTGATGAAGCTTCCTCTTTCTTGCACAAACTCCTCCTTGACTATGGCTTCCTTCTCCCTCAAGTCCCTCTCCTTCTTCTCTCACTTTCTCCCAAGTTGCGACAAACTCCTATCACCATAGCTATGGAGTCCTCCCCTCTAGGAGGGCTAATGGGACTCCCTCTAGCCTTTCTCTCTTCCTCACACCCTGGGGGCTATGGCGGATCACCTCCCTAGTGCCAGCCTTACTACCACTAGCCTCTAGAGCTCCTCTCCCTAGCTCATGGCCTTCACCAAGCTCCCAAACCGGCATGGGTTCCGCTCTCCTCTCTCGAAGTGAAAGAGTGTTTCTATGAGCTCACTTGGGCAGTATGGGCACTCCTCATGCAATTGTGAATGTGGCGGACTGAATTCCCAGCTTATGTAGGCTGAAACCAGCATTCCGGCCAGCCCATGGGCCTCCCCATGTGCCTTGAGGTGAACCGAGGTACCCCCAAGGCAAAATTCCCCCACTAGGCCCTTCCGGAGGTACCCGGGCCTCTTTTTGGCCAAGTACATGCAGTTTGAGTGGTTGGTACCAACTCGGATTGCCTCTTGGCCTCCTTCGGCCCCCTTTTCACCTCAAAAACGCTGCCCCCTTGGGCATTGCCTCTTGGCCTCCTTCGGCCCCCTTTTCACCTCAAAAACGCTGCCCCCTTGGGCCCAAATGCCCAAGGGGCAACTTTACTTGAGAGAAAACGACCTAGTGGACCTTTTTCTCAATTTTTTCAGTTTGCACCCCATTTTTGGTAGGCCGAGATATTTTCCCATGCAGCGGCACATTTTCAGCCTTGGATCTGGCTGAGATCCAAGGCCAACAATATTTTGTGTCACCCCCAAGTAGCCCTTGCTTCAAATTTGAGCCCCTTAGTTCCTCCCCTTAGTTCTCTCTTTCTCTCTCGTTCTCTTGGGGATGACGATGATGGTTCCCCCTTCGCCAACTTTCTCTCTCTCTCTCTTGGGGATGACGATGATGGTTCCCCCTTCGCCAACTCTCTCTCTCTCTCTTTCTCTCTCTCTCTCTCTCTCTCTCTCTCTCTCTCTCTCTCTCTCTCTCTCTCTCTCTCTCTCTCACGAATCGATTGATTAATCACTTCATCGATTAATTTTTCAATCCATCGATTAATCGATTAATCTTTCGATCAATCAATCGATCGATCGATCGATCGATCAATTAATGAATCAATGAATCGATTAATTTAATCGATCGATTGATTGATTTATTAATTGATTGATTGATTGATTGATTGATTGATTAATTGATTGATTGATTGATTGATTGATTGATTAATTGATTGACTGGTTGATTGATTTGAAAGGCTGTTACGTGGCAAACTTTCTAATCCTCATCATCGAAACCACCCCCTCCACCATGGGTCGTCGGCCGGCATACTTATATCGGACAAACGCTCTTCGTCTTCTTCTTTTTGTTCTTCTTCAAGTTCTCTCTCTCTCTCTCTCTCTCTCTCTCTCTCTCTTTCTCCTGTCTCTTATACACATCTAGATGTGTATAAGAGACAGCTCTCTCTCTCTCTCTCTCTCTCTCTCTCTCTTTACGCGATCACTCTCTTTCCTCCGTCCACCGTGCTATGCATCTCATGCGGTTCCTTCATTTTTCTTCGCTGCCGCACGTTGCCTTTCGATCCTCCTTGCCATATCCAGTGTTAGCCAACACTCTTCCTCGACTTTAGAGGGAGGAAGGTCGCAGGCTTTCTCTCTCTCTCGCACCCTCTTCTTCCAACGACATCGGGTTGTCTCTCTCCTATTCCAGATACCTCTGCGCCTCCATGTCTCGTTGCGTGTCTCACTCCTCTTCAGCTCGCTGTCTCTCTTCTTCCTCGGCAGCTGATTGGATCTCCCATGCATAACATAGCTGTCACGTGAATCTTCCACGTGTGCACTGCACCCCATCGACAACGTCCCTCCTGTCGAATAGGCTGTCGTCGGGCCATCTTATGCTAGAGGGGCTTATGGACCCTCCTTGACCGCCGGTGGTGTTCCTCGAGCGCGTGCTGCCGCTCGTGTTGCTCCTCGACCTCATGGCTTTGCCATGCACCATCGTGATGCACTGAACAAGATAGAGTGAATGTGTGTGTTTGTGTGTATGTGTGTGTGTGTGTGTGTGTGTGTGTGTGTGTATGTGTGTGTGTGTGTGTGTGTGTGTGTGTGTGCGTGTGTGTGTATGTGGGTCCGTATGTGTGTGAGAGAGAGAGAGGGAGAGGGAGAGAGAAAGAAAGAGTGTACGAAATAGACAGAGGGAGACAGCGATGGAGAGGCTATCGAGCGGCAGAGTGCATGAGTTGCATTTTCGCATGCTCCATCCTCGACTTGGTCAACGTTTTATACAGTAATAAACGTTGACATGGCCCGGCCTTAGGCTTTAGGAACGTTGACTTGATCCTGGGCCCAGGTCGGTACCAATGTTGATATCAGTGTGGACCTGGGTCTGGTCTCACGTTTACGTGGGCCCAGAGTAGGTGTCGATCCTGGGTGTTAGGTCCAGGCCCTGGTTTAAGACATTGTCCGGGCCCAGGTCCATGCTCTTACAGTTTTTGTTGCTTTTTTTTTTTTTTTTTTTTGCCATTTCAAAGCCCTACTCTGTGTGCGTGCCTGTCTGTCTGTGTGTCAGGCAGTCTGTCTGTTTGATTGTCTGCTTGTCTGCCTGGCTGCCTATTTGCCTGTCTGTGTACCTATCTGCCTATTTGTGTCCCTGTCAGCCAGTATGTAAGTATAGCGCTAGGTCAACGTCACTATAGCGCCACGAAAACGTCAGTGTAGCGTTAGTGTAGTGACGTTGACACTCAGGCAGAGAGGCTAACAAACAGACGAACAAACACAGAGACAAACAGACAGACAAACTGTTTGTTTGTCAGTCAGTCAGTTTGTTTGTTTGATTGTCTGCTTGTCTGCCTGTCTGTCGGTCTCGCAGGTGTTCACGTGGCAGACAGGCAGACAGGCACCAGGTGTTGACGTGGCAGACATGCACGCAGGCAGAGAGGCAGGCAGACAGGCAGACAGACTGTTTGTTTGTCTGTCAGTCAGTCAGTCTGTCTGTTTGATTGTATGTCTGTCTGCCTTTCTGCCTGTGTGTCTGTCTGCTTGTCTCGCAGGTGTTGACATGGCAGACAGGCAGACAGGCATGCAAATGTTGACGTGGCAGACAGGCACGCAGGCAAAGAGGCAGGCAGGTGTTGATGTGGCAGACAGGCACGCAGGCAAAGAGGCAGGCAGGTGTTGATGTGGCAGACAGGCACGCAGGCAGACAAGCAGGCAGACTGTTTGTTTGTCAATCAGTCAGTCTGTCTGTTTGATTGTCTGCCTGTCTTCCTATCTTTCTGTCTCGCAGGTGTTGACTTGGCAGACAGGCAGACAGACAGGTAGGCAGACAGAGAGGCAGGCAGACAGAGAGGCAGGCAGTCAGAGAGGCAGGTAGACAGGGTCCGCGACACAAGGCAGGTCGGGAACACAGGCTTGGCACAGGTTTGGGACACAGCCCAAGGGTCAGGTCGGGGACAGAGGCTGGGAGCAGGCAAGGGAGACGGGTCCAGGGAAGGGTGGGCACACAGGCAGACTGGGAGCAGGCGAGGGAGACAGGTCCAGGTAAGGGTGGGTACACAGACAGAGATGCAGGCAGACAGGCAGACAAACTGTTTGTTTATCAGTCTGTATGTTTGATTCTTTGCCTGACTGCCCGTCTGCCTTTTTTTTTTGCTCTCTCTCTCTCTCTCACTCTCTATATCTATTTATCTACCAATGAATCAGATAATTCTATTGACTGCTTGGTTGATTGGATTTTTTTTTTTTTTTCAATTAAACAATCAATCAATCAACCAATTGATCAATTACTCGATTGATCGATCAATCAATGAATCAATCAATCTTTTTCACTTTCTCTGTCTCTGTTCTCTCTCTCTCTCTCTATCTATCTATCTATCTCTCTATCTATCTATCTATCTATCGATCGATCTATCTATCTATCTATCCATCTATCTATCTATCTATTCATCTATCTATCTATCTATCTATCTATCTATCTATCTATCTATCTATCTATCTATCTCTATTTATCTATATACCTATATATCTATCTATCTATCTATTTATATATATATATATACCAATGAAATAGGCACATCTATTGACCTGTGCATAGGTTTGGGCCTGTTCTCAAAGCCCACGCCCGGACCTGTACATAGGCGCAAACATAGGTCCGGATCAGGGAGACAGGCTGTGAGTCTGTCTATTTGTCAAGCCCAGATCAGGGGGACAGGCTCGACATAGGTCCGGAACACAAGGTCTCCTTTGTCGCAGGCCGAGGGGTTATATCGTGGGCCTGAATCTGGTGCAGGTCTACAGGCTGTTGGAGAGATGAGGGTACTCGACTGTGGAGTAAAAGCAAGCCTCATGCTGAAAGGTGCGTAGTAATCATGTAGTCAGATAAGGACTCAATAATCGATACGGGCCGTTGATGATGCGGATCCAACAATGTGCACGCAAACTTAGGCAACGTCATGGTGCATATCCTACCATTTGCCATCTGCTCATGAACATTGCGCCGTAAGGGTAAGGATGTCATCTTATTTGCACTTTGCATATTCTTTGTTTTTCATGGTGGTCGGCGCAGATGGTCAAGCGTCCGCTCAACATAACGTCGTGGTCGAGACATATGGTCAGAGAGCGGGTGCGGGATCATCACGCTCCGATGTGCCGATGCATATCGATGAAGCAGATGATCTAAATGTTTCGTACGGTCATTACCTCTATGATGATGATCGCAGAATGAATGAGTACGTCGAAGATTGTGAACAGTATGAGTATAGCATGCCGAGGGAGATGCATGATATGGAACATCGTTGCCATCGATCGAATGTTGTTATGCGGTATGGTGTGGTGGGTAAGGTTCCAAATGATCATGCCTTGCGGAAAGTATTTCATAATTTCGTTACGAACAACCAAGGACTTCGTTGGACTCAGGATAAGTTGTTGAATATGTTGAAGAAGAAGGAGGTGAAACTTGATGCAGTTAAGAGTGCGTTAGCCAACATTGAGCTCAACGCAAAGTCATTCATCGAAAAATTCATTCAAGAGGAACGAAACGATGAGGTGAGAGATTCCTCTATGCCCGATACTGTGCATGTGAAAGAGGAGCCAAGAGTTAACATGGACATGGAGATGCGGATTCGTTATCGGATGAGGTCGAAAATTCGAGATGATTTGATTGATGAGATTGTTAAGTGTAGCACCCAAGTTCATCCGCACCTGCTGGAAGAGTGTCATGGTTTGCGCCGGTGACTTGAAAAGGCCGAATGTGCAATGAGGAGATTGTTGTCCTGTCGTGGTCTGGCGTGGGAAGATCCATCTTCTCGAAATGTAGTCTTCGATTTTCCATCGACAGAAGTTCGGAGGCTCTTCCGAAAAGGGATCTGATTGTGATGTTACATTCACTTCGAACTGTTGGTTCTAAGCTGGAGCATAAAAATGCAATGTTGGAGGTGTAAAATGCCATGCATTTTCCTGTGAGCGATAACCAGATGAGGGCAACGGTGGTCAATCTTGGCCAATTGTATAAGGAGGCACGCAAAGAGTTGATGAATGTCGTGTTTGTGAACGAATTCGGTGACCGGTTGGAATACCAATCCAGGTTTTATTGGGCTCAACGTCACAATGAGCAGGTCTACCAGCTCAGGAAATTGCTTGGCGATGTCGTGCTAGCTCATTCACCGAAACGATTTATGGAGGAGCTAAGCAATGTGAAGAGGTTGAATGTTCTTGCGAGCATGAATAAAGAACATGAAAAAAGACTGAATGAGACTGTGATTGCATTGGTGGAATCTTTGAGTCGTCGATGTCCTAGATGTCGTAGTACATATTGGGCACGATTGGACCGTACGAGGATAAATGAACTCTTGGTTGTTAGACCGAAATATGATGGGAAGACAAACATTTATCCCGATGGAGATAGTTGGGCCAATGAGGACAATGAATTTGCGATGGAAGAAAGGAGGAAGCGACTTCGCGAACTAGCAGGGGGAGATGAATAGGGTGGTATTTCATGATTGTTGAATTAACGGTTGAGAGGAATAAAAGTAACAAGAATGAAACAGGAGGGAGGAAAGGAAGGAGACAGAGGATGTTGGGTGCGGGGATGACAATGGTTGCAAAGGGGAAAAAAAGCTATAAATAGAAGGAAGAAATTTGTTCTTTGTTGTTCTCACTATAAGCGCATGATGTGATGTATTGTTAGATATGTAAATGAGTGCAGCTTCGTGGGCAAGATGATGCAGGAGTAAGAGTGGATAGAGTGAGAGTGATAATGAGAAGGTGGAGTGGAATGGCGGGAAGAACGCACGATTTGACATTGTTTTCATTCCATTAATGATGATGACACTTGAAACCGTTTTATGATAAGACTTTTGAATTTTGTCTTTTCTTTCTCTTATTTAAAACCTGTCTCTCTCTCTTTCTCTTTCTCTCTCTCTCTCTCTCTCTCTCTCTCTCTCTCTCTCTCTCTCTCTCTCTCTTATTTAAGTCGTTTCTCTCTCTTTCGCTCTTTTTTTTTTCATTTCTTTTTTGATAACTATTCATGGAATTGAAAGAAAATATTATTGATGTATACAAATAAAAGTTACCTTAGTCGTTTGTTGGTATGTGATCTCATGTTCTACGTACTCACGGTCATGGAGATGATCTTAATCCTTAGTTGCTAATATTTGTTAAATTCTGTTTTTAAATATAATATGGTTTTGTGTGTTCATTCTTATACTGTTCTGCTTATTCTTAAAAAACAACCAGGTAAGTATCCCTAAAAATATAGACATGAGATAATGTTCAAAACCGATTGAGATGAGTAAGAAGTTTGAGGGGGGGAGGGGAATGTAGGCTTGAATGTTTTGTGATGTTATAATGTAAATTTTATGAATAATTAGAAAGGAAAAGTCTCGATAGTAAATTAAAAAACAACAATAAACTTAGATCATCTTTCAGTAAACGGTATCGAAGGAAAGCGAAACATGCTCGGGAATAATCAAGGTATGTATGACATGGGGCGGTGAAAATACTCAGACGCTTATAGGAAGCAAATTAAGTGTTATTGGGAAGGGGGGTCACACTATGTATTTCGAATGAATATTGGAGAAGGAACCAATCAGATAAGAAGAAATAAAACTGCCATTAAACGTAGTCTTTTTCCCAAGGCACCCGTGCTATCCCGAATGACCTCCTCTCGCCTAGACCCGTTCCAAAATGTCATGTTATCTACCCCCTTTGCGTTTATCTCATCAAAGTCCCCCAAGCAAAAGAGGAGAAGAAAGGTGAGGCCATCAACGATTTGCCCGACCTCGATCGCTAGGAATGGTTCTTCCTGGATCCACGACCTTCGAGGTTGGTTGGGGAGAGGTGCGGCACGCCTCATAGACTCATTTATGGGGGTGGTGCAATGTTGTTGTGGTGGAGTCAACGCCTTCTTCTAAGATTTGGGCCTCGTGCTCAGGCAAGGAGAATGGGTACTACGGACTACTTCCTAGCGATCGGGGCCCGGAAAGGTCAGGGAATCTATTTTACCTTCTTCAATTTTTTTGTGGATGGACGACTGACTTAGAATACCTAAGTCTGGCCGCAAGTAGAAGCCGCCTCGATTAATGTGGATTGGAACCAAAAGAAGTTCTGATCCAAGTGACAAATTTATCCGAACAGGAAAGTGAGCCCTGCTAGAGAATGACAAAGGGCAAACATGGACAGACGAGGTACGTATGACTCTATCGCATGGGGCCCTGAAAAGACTAAGGGACGTATAGGATCACAAATCGAACATAAGAACCGAATGAGGCATAAGAACAAAATAAGAGGCGTCTTAATCAACCTCAATAGGAGTCTAAAGAGACTCCAGTCCCGATTAAACATTTGCACAAACATGAAAGTGGACCTATACATGTATATTTGCACGATCAAAGAAATTATGATCTGAATGAACATTGATTAACCTCGATAGACACGCTGAAAAAAAAAAGAACAAACTGATTGCTTATTTTCTTTGATCTTCTATGCTTCGCATTTCAGCTGTGTTCTTCGTGTTGCACTACGTCTTCTTTGTTTTTCCTGTATTTTTTTCCTCTCTGCTTGAGACTATATTACTCTTCATCATATAATTACATCTCTATATGGATGCTTTGAGGCGTATTATTTTCGTTCCGGTTGTCTATATACATTTTATTTCTCCTATTCGCCGTGACGTGCCAATGTACAAATACGTATGTACGTGCCCATTAATATGGCAGAGGACCAAGATCCATGTGATGGTTCAACCCACAGTAATTTATCCACCGTTCCGACATTTTCTTCACCTCCGGATAGGTCCTTGCATGTTCCGTGGAAGCGTCGCAAATGCCATCAACCTTTTAAAAGGGTTGTTAATGATCCTTTGGTGTCATCGCCGATAGTATCATAGTGTACTCGATGTCCTTCCATTGTTCCAGGTCAAGTCGGTTTGTCTTTGTTCGAGGACCCTTCTTGCTCATCCAATCATGAATTGAGACTGTGTAAAGGTTCGGATATTACTCCTTGTCGTTCTACGAGTGAGACAACGATTCCATTACAACACGAACACCACAAACGCGGACGACCACCTTCCCAAAGTCGTCAAACCCGCAGGTCTTTATTACAGGTGGTAGGTGTTGTAGGTGAGCCGACTGTTCGCAGGAGAGATAAACAACCGATTGTGAGTCAAGATTATGTTCTTGATTGTTCTACTGAGGAACAATTTAGTGATAAGTCTTTATCTTTTTGACAGTCGATTCCATCGATGAATGATTTCACAAACGTCGTGCTTTCAAAAGAACAAGACAAGGAAATATTAATGTTAGTACGGATCGCATTAATTGTCCTATAAATCTCTCTATGACCTTGCAATGTGAACGTCCGCTTGAAATTCGCCCGGATGTTACAGTAAATGCAGATTCCGTTTCGATTGTCGAAAAATCAGTTTTACTTGATAATTTTCCCTCGCACTCGACACATGTGCACAATTGTTTATCGTCGATATTGACTGCCGATGTCCGACAAAGATTTATGGAGAGTAAAGTTTGTCCTCCCTTAGTGGATGTTCATGCAAATGCATCTTCTGCTGCTATGACCCCACCGAATTCGCCGAACACGTTGATTATAAATTTTGTTGGATTTCATAATCGATCCAAAAAAATATTATTATGGAAACCGATTCATTCAAGACTCAACCAACAGTACCATATGTTGTTGATTCGACGGCTCCGTGCGAATAAAGTCGTGCGTTGTTTGGAGCTTGAATCGTTGTCGTCGATGCCTCGCTGTGAGTCATTGAGCTATGATGGAAGTGCGGTAATTGTTGTAAGTATTGTAGAGGTTGGTGGAGAAAGGGTACAGGTCGATACAATAAATGTGAATAAACCATGTTCTACGTCGGGTGTAATTTCAAAACGAAGGAAAAGTCAAGGAAGACGAGTTAATTTTCATGTTAAACGTATGCGTGCATTGAGCGTTGCGCTTAAGAATCATAGGAGAAAAGAAGATGTGCGTGCTCATAATCATTTTGTGCGGGGTGTGTGGGAAAATTTGTTTGCTATGAATATTCTTCAAGAGATTCGAGCGAGCGGCTCTGCACAATCGAGGAGTGCATCTTCTCCTACGAGACAATCGAGGAGTTGTTCTTCTGGGGAGAGGCAGTCGAGGAGTCTGTCATGAGCGAGGCAATTGCAGAATCCGTCTGTGAGAAATCGAAATTCACTGAACAATCGGAAAGATAGTGAGTCAGATAATCGCGAGGAAGAAATGAATGATTCACGTGATATTCCATGTCCTGATCTTAATGCACTCCCATCGGCACCCGTGGCAACAACATTGGCGGCAGTTGAGAGCACCATGACGATTCTTGGGAATGCTAACACTGTTGAAACGTTCGGCATTGGAGGTCGAGATCCGTGTAAACATTGTGGTGCTAAATTGTGGCATCATGAAAAAAAATGGACAAAGATGTGTTGCAGAGAAGGTACAAAACGTTGTTCTTTATGGGAATAGCCTTGCGAAGGCTCCCCGGAGCATGAGATTCTTTCCCTTTGGACGTCTCAAACTTCCGACTGTCGATTCCTTCAAAGCAATGCGAGGATAATTAATAATAGTTTATCACTCGCATCCTCACAGTTGAAGCAACCGAGCGATGGTGTTTAATGATTTCAGGGCCAACTTCGGGTTCAAGGTTCAATCTTTCATTGTGTTTGTGCATTGGCTGTGGGGGAAGGGGAACGTCCTCAGTTTGCACAAC